CTCTAATTTTTACAATATTTCCCCTCGACATTTCCGACATATGTCCTATATTTTGGTAAGCGACATTTCCATCGACATCGACATTTTAAACCTTGGTTGCAAAAGTAGGGTTGTTGTAAGAAAATCAATCTAAAGGAGCAAGGATGAAATAAAAGGGGTAATAATGGGTTGAAATTTGAGAATGATCCATATCAAGGTCAAAACAGACCACAGGTCTCTAGCTTTCTTGTTTTGAATACGGTGTATCTAGGCTAGACAAAGAGTGTTTCAAAAATTAAGAAACAAGGGAAAACAAGTCTGATATAATTTAGATACTTAATGACAGGAATAACAAACACGGTTTTCAATATCAGCGAGGTTTGGCAAAAATTCTGAGAAATCTCCCTATTTTGCTAGGTGGCGATATGAAATTTTCTGAAAATCGTTTTTTCCTAATATCTCTGATATTTTTCTAATCTATCAGTTAAAGTTTTAGAATATTATTAAAACTTTTCTGATATTTCTTCAAAATCACCGTGGTTCTTAAAAATCATTTCCTAAAAGAACCAACAGGGATTCAATCATTGGGTAATTGGCTTACTATTTTTATATGATTCACTCACTAAATCACTATAGCATAAAAGAAAAAAAGAAAATGCACACAACTACGAAAGAAGATTTTCAATGTAATCAGAAGTCAACATATAATAACAAAAAGGATAAAAGTCAAAATGGCAAGTGACATCTGTAATGAATAGAAGATAGATAAAAGACTAAAAAGGATACAGGGATTAAGGATGAAGACTATAGGTTGAGAAGTAGACAGTTTTCTGTCCACCAAGGGATGAACAGGAGGTGTGGAAGGTATGTAGCAGTTTACTCAGGTTTAACCTTTGAAGATCAACAGTCAGGCAGAGAGGTGTGGGATGGAGATGTGGAGCAGGTGTTAACTGATGGTCTTAAGGAAAAGGGGAGGAGTGGGGGCACTTTTTGAAGAGTTTGATCAAGGATTTAAAAGGGAGAAACCGGAGGAGAAGGTTGCAAGTGGTGAGGGATATTCTTGGAAAGTTGAACCAAGGTGTTTTGAGATTGAGAGTCCAAAAAGCTAGAGAGTTCAGAAAGAAAGAGGGGAAGTCAAAGGATCAATAGGTATGGGTTGTAAAAAGGTTTGAGAAGGGGAAAAGGTCTCAGTTATAGAAGGAGGTCAAAGGTGCCTGTGACTGCCTCCTAAAGCAAAGATCTACATATTTTGGCAATTCAGACCCTGAGATGGAGCAAAGTTCACATGCCTTTGGCAGGGAAGATCGAAATCAGGAGTAGAGAACGATGATCCAAGGTAGGGGACCTTTTGAAGCTGAACTGTTGAACGGTCACAACGAAGATGGGAGGATTGCTTCAAGTGGAAGAGAAGCCCCAAATTGGGACTAAGAGACAAGGATTCAGGCAAATGGTGAAGCAGTGAAGAAGAATGGGGGAAGACTTTCTTCTGCCTGGTAAGAAAACTCATGAGATAATTATGCAGCTGAATTTACAAGTAACTAATCTTTCTTCATCTTGGCTGGTGCATTCCAACAAGGAGGGGGAGAAAAGTAGCAGGGGTACTGAAGAGGGCAGTAGGAAATGCAGATCGAAGAGGAAGGCATCAAGGGAAGTCGATGATCTTGAGTGGAGGGAGGAAATAAGGATCTTGATTCAGGGGATTGGAGGGTGTGGGGCCCAAGAGAGGGAGGTGGAGGATAAGGAGGAGAGGGGGGAGGAAATAAGGAAGGGGAAATGACAGAGGGTCTTGAGGAAGAGAGATTAACAGATAGGGATCACTCAGGTGAGGGGAGAGTGGAAATTGAGCATCTGGTAGATAGACAGGTGAGGGTTGGAAAATCACTCAGTTTATTTTTCTTGGGTGGGGAGAAAGTGGTTAGAAGGGCAATTGAACAATTTGAAGGGAGGAGGGAAGAATATAATAAGAAAGTTGTAGGGGAAGGGAGTGAGGTGCAGGAGGCGGGGAAGGATGGGAAGAAGGCATATCTGAGGAGTGAAGGCAGAAGTTTGAAGGCCAAAAAGCC